AAATTTAGTAAACGAATACATACTTTGATAATAACTCCTTATTTTTTTTAGTTTTATAGTCCAGTTCAGACTCAGAAATATTTCCATGTGGCCAATTGAATCGATTGACTACGTGTCAAACACTTAAATTTGGAAAACGTGTACATAACTAAACAAGTTGATAATTTGCCAGACTCCTCAGGGCGCAGCCCAAGTGGTACAAACGTTGATGAATTGGAAGCATGGACAATTAAACACTCAAAGCCGGTTATTAAAACAGGGTTTAGACGTTGTTTAACAAACTGCCTTTTAGGCCCTTTAAGATTTGGCCAACGCACACCTAAACATCGTTTGCTATTCACAGCGTCAAGAGGGCTTAGCCGGACTAGAAAACCATTCATCTACAACCCCTACTTAAAATAAACACCCTGTACAAACGAAGGAGGAGGAGGAGGCCTACTGAGAGCCTTAAAACCGCGCTGGTCTAAGTTAGACTTTGTTTAAATAACCGACTCTCAGGGTCTGTACTGAATACTGAGGAGAAAGTGCGGCCTTTGTTATGACATCTGCAAAGGGCTCGACGTTCTAGTCTTTTAGGAAAAGGACGATAAAATATTTCCCCCGTCTTACCACCTGTCTTGCTCATATAAAAATTATGTGACCCACGTCGTTAAAGAACCCACTCAATGTTCGTAAGTTAATAGTACGGGACGTAGTCCTCAGTGTGGTGCCTTTCTATCTCAAATTCACATTCACATTAAGGGTTATTCATTACTCATCACTTCATTAATTGCAAACTGCGCCATAAGCCGTCTGGCAAAGGTCCCCAACCAGAGTTGTAAATTATTCCTGAAAAGCCCTGAGGCAGTTTACAAAATTTACAACTCTACTGAGGGCCACCTATATTTCAAATCTATTCTCAGCTGCATTCTCGGCGTTAATACTTAAATAATAAATAATACATTGGACAAAGAACTGACGAGGTTATTTTTGTTAAGAAGAAACTATAAACAACTTAACGGAGTCTTATCCAGCATTTAGTTACTAGAGTCATTTTAACCAATGGAAAATATGAAAATAAACGGCTATGCTCTCAGCTCGAAAACAAACGTAAATTGATCGAGCTGAATTCATCACTGTAACCGCTCGTCAATTTTTGGAGAGTCAGGTTTGTCACAATGAATTGTTAGTTAGATATTAATGGGAATTTTTTTTTATCCGTTTGTGCCCCGTTGCCATTGTTTAAGGTTACACATAAAACGCACTTAAGTAATGTACTAGTTAAGAAGTTATTTATTTAAACACAGACAAACAAGAGAATTGCTCCGGAAGAAAAAGAGGCGAAGAAAGATGAACAATTACCCTGCAGTTTTGAGAAACTACTTGTTCTTAATGGGGATATTTTCAACCCTTCCAAATGACTCTGAAGGTACACGAACTCTGAGTTCTTTTTCACATTGTTCTAAGTCGGGTATATTTTTGTCTTATATTTCTTATAGTCTCAATTTGTCCATTTTCTCTAAAAAAGCTTTCGGCGAGGGATCCATTGGTAAATTCTTATATGTTAACTTCATGATGAATGAATTCTCCTACCTGAACATCACCAGTACTGGACGGAAACTTATTCAAGACGAAGGCGAATGTGCCTTCGCCTGTCTAAACATCCCCTCATGTTTCTCCTACAACATGGCTACCTTCCCTGACGTCAACGGAAAACTTCTCTGCGAATTACTGCCATCGGACAAGTATAACAACTCAGAAAAATTCATCACCAGCAAGGAATTTCATCACTTTCATATTCCGGTGAGTGAAACTCCGTTTATCTTACGCTAAAATAAAAACAATCTTTTTAAAGTTCCTCTTATAGAAGCGTTTAGGAATTGGTCGATAGTAAAATTTTGTCGCTTATGAAACTCACTAACCCTAGCCATATACTAAATTATATAAAAAAATTGACTTTTTAAGGGTAACACAATCACTAGTAAACGAGTAGTTTTTATTGAGGTCCGCAAGGTTAAGGATCCCAACTGGCCGGAGACCCCAGTTGGCTTTTTACAAGCGCATCCAAGGAGATGAACTCGAGAACAAATCCGCTTAGCGGTCAGAGAAGAGAGAGAAGATTGAACTGGGCCCCTCCGGATCACAATTCCAGCGCTCTAACCGCCACTCGGCCACTCTGCTTTGATGGCAAGAGGGAACTGAAAATTAATAGTTGCCTTGGTTATTGGAACACAAGGGAATAAAAAAGCAACAACGAATTTCATTATTCTCTTTTAGGGTAGCGAGAGAAAGATATCACATGAAATTTTTAATAGCGAGGAGAACAAACCAATCTAGGTTTTTCATCTCTTTTTGCGACACATAACTGTTGATGTCCATAATATTCGCTCGAGATGAGAATACTATATTACAATGTTAAGAGGTTTAAAGAACTGATTAAAAAAACCAAACTTTTTCGACTTCATCTCCATCTTCGTAACCGTAGATCTTAGAGAAAATCAAGTTTTATCCCATTTCTATCCCAGCCCTATTCATGGCCAACCACTCAGTGCTTTAAAATTTCACTGCAGCTTTAGTTTATTGTTTCTGGACCATTTTCTTATGGTCTTTTTAATAACGCACATTGGTGCTAAGAAAAACTGGGAAAGGCAAAAAGTCTTACAATGCTGTAAACCTGCGACATGCTTTTTCAGTATGCGCCCCCTTAATTAACTGTGGAACTCACTACCACTAAATTTGCTCAAGACACCATCTTTAACCAGTTTTAATTTAAAAAAAAACTGAAAACATATCTTTTGGCACAATTTTGAGAAAGTAGGTAAATGTTTTTGTAAAACGAATTTAATACCTGTAATGCATCATATATCGAGCCACTGTCTAGCCATGAAAATTTTATCTCAAAATATTTCGAAAACGCTTTCACGGATTTTGCTCAAACTTCACGAACTTCGAGGTAGCTATATTAGAGGAAAAGGATCTCGTGAACAGTTTTGGTAAAAAAGGCCCCAGTGCCGAAAAATACGGCTGCAAGTATAATAGCTAATGATGTCATTTCGTTGCTATGACAACTCCGACGTCATAGAAACCCTAATCATAACAAATTTATCTAATACAGCTGTGCTGATAATTTTTTCAAATCTTCGTTAATAGCAACGTAGTCTATACGCAAACTTGGGAGGTATTGACCCTGAAAAACCCTATCGAGCCACCTTAAGCTTGAACAAACATAAGCCATTTTAAGCCAATATCACCTGTCTCGATAAAACCAACAAACAGCAAGTCCTAACAAACAAAATGTACTGTACTAAATACTGGATGTAAAAACATTTATCGTCTAAGAAAACTGTGCATGTGAATGTTAGGAAAAGGAGTATAGTTTGCTTATATTTTTTTCACTCAGAATATCTGCGACACCCATCCTTGTCTTAACAACGGAAAGTGCTATTTTAAATACACCGACAAAAGGTACGGATGTGTTTGCGCATCTGGCTACACTGGAGAAAACTGCGAGAAAGGTAAATGTGAGCCTACTTTCAATAATTCAATAGACTTGCTTACAGCTGCAGCAGAAGAACGATGATAATGCTGTAAGAAACAGACTGAGGTGTTAATCAGAAAAAACTGTTAGCTAGTGTTAGATTTGATATACGACAAACGGAGCCAGCCCGTCAAAATCGCCAGGGAATCGAACCCCGACTCATTCTTCTTGGTGTTGCGTCAATAAATAATTGATGGATGAATAAAGAATGACGACAAATGATGTTAGTAGTGGTATTATGTCATTTATGTTTCAAGCGCCTTTGCGAATCGAGTCTTATTGATGTTGTTGGGAGTGTTGCTTTGGGCGAGCTCTGTTTACTAGGATTTCACCATGGCGGTTTACCAGGAAATAAAACATTTTGAAATAAAATGAAGCTTTATTAAAAGGGACAATCTTTTATGCAAGGTTTTAACTTACGCGTAGAATGAAAATGACTCATTGACTCATTGATAAATGCACTATTCCTTTGTCAATGGGCTCCCTCTGTGGAGCGTGATCCAGGAGCGAGGGACTGGTGCGAGCAGTTTCCCAAAGTTTCCTTCTACAGTAGATGACTAGATTATGATACAGATGAATAATTTTTTGTATGGTGACATACACTTTAAAGAATTGTATCATTTAATTTCGTGTTTTCCTCTATTGAGTTTGATTTTAGCTTCTCTTGAAGCGTTCTGTATGCAAACCCTATGCAAGATCACGAAATTGACGATGAGATTCAGATCAAACTGTGAAAAATCATTTTCTTACAGATATCGATGAATGTCAAGGTAGAGTCCATGATTGCCTTCCTAGTGTGGCTTCCTGTGTAAATACATTGGGTTCGTTTAATTGTTCTTGTAACCATGGATACATAAGAGATGGAAAAACACGCTGTACAAAGGCACCAGGTAAAATCGGCTTTAAAAAGTTTTTTAGTTATGTTAAAAGTACGTATCATTAAGGCAGTTACATTAATATTTTGTACAATAGCAAAAGTAAAGTAACTTCGGAGAAAGAAACACAACAACCCCATGTAACAATATTTATACTTTATTTATAACTTTTACCCGTTTTAGTTCATTTATTCGAAGAAAGGTTTATTTCTGGTAGAAACTCTCATATAACATTTTGATCATTTGGGTATGAACATGATCACAATTGTGTTTACAAGGACGATCGTGACGAACTAATACTTAATGTATCTGACCACTTTCGAATAATGTGTTTAATACCTGTTTGGAATTTATGTGCGTCTTGATAGCTATTGTTTCAGAATAACCGACTGTTTGCACACAACAATATGGCAAAATGTGGATCCATAAATTTCTATCTGTTATGGGTTCTGGATTTGTTCCTATCTTTGATTTGAAGGCTCTCGTCAATGACTCGGATGACTAGGTGCAATGACTTTATCCCTGGCTCAGTTTGAGACAGTTGTCTGTTAGTATTTGCCGCGTTCTTCAAGTATCAATATATATCACTATTGTGATAACTTACTATTCAGATTTATTGTCAGAAAACAGGAAAGGGTGTCTCAATGTTATATCACATATTGGGACTTTGGGTAATCGGCTCCTGTTATTGTTCATTAACATACTTAAAACATGTAAAATGTAGGGCTGTTGAACCGTGATATGAGGGTCTCAGTGGGGTGGGGATATTTACGGTCAACGGTCAATATTTCGGTTTTTCTGTGCCTGGCGGTTAATAATTCTTTCCGTTTTTCAGGGGCACCCGACGGCAATTTTCGGAAAATATCTGTTCGGAAGACGATTTGAGATCTAGAATTTTCGGAACACTTGTTGTAAAATTTCTTGCTTGCCTGCCTCTCCTAGGATTTTCGAACATCTACAAAATGGTATAATTACCCATTTTTAACGGATTTTTACCCTAAAAAAGGCCAAATTTTAGAAAAGGTAAGTTTTGATTCGTATAATTTTCGGATCACTAGACTTTCAGCTATATAGGAAATCCGAAAAGATGAAAAGTTTTTAGGGGATAAAAATATGCGTATATCTACCGTTTAAATACTAAAATACTAATGCTACGGTTGAGTGGTTTTGAACTATATCCTCGTTGGGTGCCCCTGGTTTTTAAACAGACATCTGAACAAACAAATAGTTTTTTTTTGAAAATTTCAAAAGTTTCTACCATGGTAAGCCTCTAAGGACTCTCCGGGATGGGAATAAAAAAGGCTGAAATACTGGGTCCATCAGCCACGAAACAAGACTAAGACAAGGCACAAAATTCTAACAAGCAATATTATATGGCTGAATCCGCAAGCGGGAAAGATGAAGCGAATTCTGCGTTCTGATTGGCTACCCGAGCGGGCAAGATGAGCCTAACTTGCCTGCTCGGGATTTCCCGCGTTCGTCCCGCAAGA